GGTACGTGATTTTAAAGTTTTTTTCAGCATAGCTGTTTTTACTGACCTGATCTGGATTTATTTTCTTTCCTCAGACTCTGTCCACTATTGTGGCACTGCTGAAGTTGTGATCCGATTGGTCGTCTCTGCTCTGATGGGCGTGGCTGCCGTGGCTGCCATTGTTGTTCTGGTTTACGACATCAAATCCAGAACAGGAGAGAAGAGACCTGACATCAATTTAAGACAACGATCAATCAGATATTAAATATGTTCAACTGTCTTTTTGTTTACTCTTCTGAGTACTTTTATGTTTAGATAAAATTCTCGTGACAGAATTCTTCTGCTGTATTCCTAATGATAATGATGCGTGATGCAAAATTTGATGTACATAAGGCTAAGAAAATGAAATATTGCAGTCTCCGCTCTAATTTCTGTACTTTTTTGTTGCCAACATAAGACTGAGTGAGTTATAAGATCACAAAGATAGGCCTGCATTTAGGTTGAAGTTAGGAAAAGTAGGTAAAATAGGTAATCAGCCACTATTATCAGCCAGTTAAACAAATGAAACGTTCAGCATCACATCATCTTTCTCCATGTGCCCATAGAAGTTCAATGACTCCCAATCAGAATAAATAAGCCCTAAGAAGTGTAAAAAAGTGTAAACACTTGGTGTTTAAATGTGGATCTGATAAATGCTAATAAATCAGGTTGACTGATGAAAATAACTTATAAAAAGTTTAATATACAGAGTTCATATACATATACAAAAATTTAATATACAGAAAAATAGCGTTTAGCATTGGCATTTGGGTATTTACTTTAGATAACTATAAAATAGGCATGTTCACATTAGAAATAGTAACTTTATAAATGGATGATATTCGTTAAGATTTCCTGGGAAAAACGATGGATTCTCTATACCACAAAAATACCAAAATTCCAAAAGTCAATTAGATTATTAAAGCAATTTTATTATGCATTTTTAGTACATGCATTCAGGCACATGCATATTCAAATAGACTGGCTGGAACAATTATTACATTTTTCTAACTGAACAAAGAATCCTGCCCGTAGTCAACAATTAGTCCACTAGAGGGCAGGCATCAAGATGAAATAAAGTTGCAATATATCAGTGTGTTTTCAAACTGTTTTGTTCAGGGGTCTGAGAACGCTTCGCATTCATTTTCATATTATTGTGAATGCTCCAAACAAACCTTTAAACAATATGATCACCTCTACTACAAAGAAACTGAAACCATGTTGACAGGTAGCCTGAATGTGCCTTGATTTCCCTTGCATTTAATTTATAACATGCATGTCTGAATGTTTCACCTGAATTTCAGATTTGGAAATGCACTTGTTTTTGGCCTTTACAGGGTACCAAACAAAGTTAAAGATGAGAGGACAAGATGAGTCACTTATCAGATATTATGAGTCATCTAGCAGATATTACAGAATAAGGGTCTTATTAAGCCTGTCCTGCCCGATTCAACTCCACACAGATTCTTAAAGGTTCTTTTTTATTCAGTTAATTTAAAAGGGTCTGAGTCAAAGAGCACTAAGCGTGAAAATACCACAGTTACAGTAGCTCTGAATGCAGCCCACGTTTAAAATTTACATTCATGCCTTATGGATATTCTTTTATTCATGTTCATTTTTTTTTCAAATGATAATATAATTTACAATAAAAAAATGCACTAAATAAAAACAACCATGTTAAATTAGCAAAATATACATTTAGCAGACAGACAGAGAGTAACAATATCATATATTACAGGGAGTGTAGAAAATCACATTACACTGGACCAAATGTTTAAAACTCACATTAAAAATACACGAATCACTGTGCAATGCAAACAAATCATCTGCAAACTAAATTAAACAATTTTTCTTCTTTTATACCAAATTCAACTAAATTGCACAGCTCAACAGCGCACAGGGAATTAATTGTAAACACAGTTTATGTTGCTCCTAGTCCTCCTCGTTATGCAACGGTTTGTCTGTTTCATTCCCTTGATCTCCACTGACATCTGTAAGAAAATAGAAAGAATCCGATTTAAAATCTACACAAAAACAAAGATGGAAATCACAGAAACTTATTGCAAATTAAGAGACTATCGACACAATAGTCATCATGTGACACGTGACATCAATCTTTACTTGTTCAGTCTCCATTTGGCTGATTAATGGAACAATAAAACTTTTTAATTAGCTGTGTTTAAGTCAAGCTTCAGTATTATCATTCCTCATAGTTTGATCAAGTATTAAAGAGATAAATGGACCTATATAAGACCTATATGATTTATACCCATTTTTTGGAAGCAGAACTCTTCATTTACATTGTCACACACACATTACACATTCTACAGTCTGATCAGTTACAGATAGAGCCATGCACAAAAAAAGTTAACTGATCTGTATCTTACAAATTGGACCCTATGGTTAGACAATTCCAGTGCTGTTAGAAGCAAACATATATAAATATAATGTAAAAGCTGAAATGCATTTACACAGGCAGATATCTAAACAATGACTAAACATAAAACACCTAAGAATTTTTTTTCTTGTAGATATTGTGCTCTTCTTAGGGTCTGTATTTAAATAACTGTTATTGAACTTTCAAGCTTCGTTTAAGGTTAGCTGTAGTTCTTGAACTTCACCCTTTCTCAGGGTATGTTCAGAATGGCACACTATACAATAATATACTTTCAGTGTGTATATACTGTTCTTCCGTTTAAGATCAGTGCTCTTTTATTTCTGTATTATTTAATATGTCTGTATTGATGGTGTTTATTTGTAACAGAGTATAATATCTGAATGACAAACCTGATGATGGTTCAACACATACAAACACAGATATAACCAAGTTGCAATGCTGCTGAGATCAAACACAGATCATATGTGCAGTCGCTGTTTTAAGTTTGAGATTTCTCAGATGCAGCTCATGGTAATTCAGTATCCGACCCTAATCTATTAATTTATCAGTAATCAGACCTCGTCCCTTACGGATACATAAAAGTTCAAAATTTTAAAAAATGACTATAATTTGTTTACTCTGTTCAATGCAGAGTAAAAAAGCTCATAGTTTTCAGTTCTCATACAAGCTGTAGGTAATACTTACTATTTTGTTGTCCAGGTTTAGATTTCTTGCGACAACAGTAAATCAGAACTACTATTACAACAACAACAACAACCACCAGCACCAAGATTCCAAACCCCCACTTCAGTGCTTCATTACTTGTGTAATGACCTGGATCTGGAGTGAATGTAATGCAAATTTGTGTTGAATTAGTCATATATAAATAATTAAAAAAGAGACATTGATACTGAAAAACTTTTACTGCTTTTGAAAAACTCTACTCACCACTAACAGTAACAGTCATGGTCCTCTGTAAGAAGTGTGAGCTGCTGCTCATGTTTAGATGATAAACTCCAGAGTCTGTGGTTTTGGAGTTACTGATGGTGAGAGATCCGGTGTTTTCATTTAACTGCAGTCTGCCTTTGAATCTCACATCAGTATTGTTATACAATGATAACTGGTTGGTCGCTTTATTTAATTCACCCATGAGATGGTCTTCAAACTTCCACAATATCCGATCATATCCCTTTATTTCAATAAGACCAGTGCGTAGAGTGACAGATTCTCCTTCCTTCACTGATACTGTCTTTGCTTCATCTGTCGCAGCAACAAACACATATAGAGAACATATGATTAAACATATGAATGAATGCTTTTTAATGACACGGAGAAGTGTTTCGTTTCGGGGTATGATTCACATTAAAACCCCTGGATATATTTTCAAATGTTCATTTGTTTACACTTGATGAACTTTACTGTAACTTAATAAGTTCTAATGTATAGCACTATTCATATCTCACATAAATTCCTCCTGCACCTTCAGATTAGAGCATCTGAAGAGGCTTTTCTCGCTGAGTAAATTTAGTTTAACCTTTGACACTCCTTTTAATACACATTAAACTCATAAATTTTATAACATAAATTTTATGTTTTGCGCCCACCAACTCAGATATACATAAACAAATAATGTTATTATTAATAATAATAATAAATAATATTAATTAGACCTATAGATCAATTAAACAATTTAACTATATGACATTATGATATCACACTAATATTAAAATGTTTACTAATTTAAACTGCTCACTAGAGTGATCACAAATAATATGATAATAGAAGAAGGGTAATTCCTGGGATTTGGTAAAATTAAAAAAATTTTTTAACTACATTACAATTCTGAATACACCACATGATTAGGCACATGAAACCTCCAACAAATCATTTTTTCCCACCTCAGGCATTAAAGACCTTTTATTATTTTCAAATTTTATTTTATTTTTTCAGATTTAGACACCTTTTATTCTCAACCCCACATCAGACAAAATGGGATTGGTTTAAAAATTATTTTACACAGAACTTTTATAAAACAAACATCTACCAACTGCTCATGTGTCTCATGTCCCTCATAACAATTTAAAGGGGTCATATGATGTTGCTAAAAAGAACATTATTTTGTGTATTTGGTGTAATGAAATGTTTATGCAGTTTAAGGTTCAAAAAACACATTATTTTCCACATACTGTACATTATTGTTTC